GCTCAAGCAATCCTCCCTCCTCAGTCTCCCTAAGTGCTAGGGAAATCCACTTTTGAAACACTGTCTGGAGAGGTGCCCAGGTGTTAGATCACAGAAATAGGTCATCGTGGGGTCCTCTCATGGGTGCAGTCTTGAGCCACCTGTGGCCAGCAAATATTTGGAGAATAATAGTCAGGGGAGAGCTTGAGGTTCAGGAAAAGATTTTGTTTTTCCTCAGGGAAAGTTTTTTATTGTTCTTTATCCCTCCTTAAAGGACCTTCAGGTGTTACTGACATTCCCAGTCTACCCAGTGAAACATTTAGTTTGTAAGCTGGGCCCTTATACAGAGGTAGGGAGGTGAGAGCATTGGATTAGTGGTCACCAAAGCTGCCGTCACCTAGTGGGGTGATCAGAGACTCCTCCCTTAAGATCTTTATCGCCAACGCCTCTGGCGCAACTTTCCTTTTTATTTATCGCAAACCTCCTGGAATCTCAATTGCTTTTTGCCCACCCGGTGTGTCAGCACAAGAAATGAGTCATTTCCTCCTTTAAGCACAATCGAAATTGAGCTGTGAGTCAGTGGGGTGTGTACAGTATTGTCAAAGCACCTCCAATGAGACATTCCACACAGATCTGTAGTTGGGGCCGGGCGCGGTGGCTCAAGCCTGTAATCCCAGCACTTTGGGAGGCCGAGGCGGGTGGATCACAAGGTCAGGAGATCGAGACTATCCTGGCTAACATGGTGAAACCCCGTCTCTACTAAAAATACAAAAAAAACTAGCCGGGCGAGGTGGCGGGCGCCTGTAGTCCCAGCTACTTGGGAGGCTGAGGCGGGAGAATGGCGTGAACCCGGGGGGCGGAGCTTGCAGTGAGCCGAGATCGCGCCACTGCACTCCAGCCTGGGAGACACAGTGAGACTCCGTCTCAAAAAAAAAAAAAAAAAAAGATCTGTAGTTGGGCAAGATAATTATCAGTTTGTGACCACAACAGATTCCAAAGCTCAACTCATTTTCTTCTCTCTTCCTTCCCTTTTTTTTCTTTTTTTTTTTTGGACAGAGTCTTGCTCTGTTGCCCAGGCTGGAATGCAGTGGCACAATCTGGGCTCACTGCAGCCTCTGCCTCCTGGGTTCAAATGATTCTCGTGTTTCAGCCTCCCGAGTAGCTGGGATTACAGGCATTCGGGTTCAAGTGATTCTCCTGCCTCAGCCACCTGAGCAGCTGGGATTACAGGCATGTGCCACCATGCCCAGCTAATTTTTGTATTTTTAGTGGAGACGGGGTTTCACCATGTTGGCCAGGCTGGTCTCGAACTCCTGAACTCAGGTGACCTGCCCACTTTGGCCTCCCCAAGTGCTGAGATTACAAACGTGAGTCACCACGCCCAGCCTGTTCTGTTCTTTAATTCTCAAAACACCTTCTAGGAAGTAGAGATTGCCATTCTCCCCCATTTTACAGCTCAGGAAACTGAGTCCCAGAAGGATTAAGTCAGTTACCCAAGTCGTTCTCGTTAAATGACCTGGAAAGCCACTGAAGCCCAGGATTGTCTATCTAACCCCCTTACTACTCTGACTTTCAGGGAGTCTACATGAATGTGCTGGGTCAACTATCAAAGTTGAAATGGATAAAGGGGGCTGGATGCAGTGGCTCATGCCTGTAATCCTAGCACTTTGGGAGGCCGAAATGGGTGAGTGGGTTGCTTGAGCCCAGGAGTTTGAGACCAGCCTGGGCAACATAGTGAGACCCCTGTCTCTGCAAAAAATAAAAGCAAAAAGTTGGCTGAGTGTGATGGTGCACCCGTCTAGTTGCAGCTGCTCAGTTAGGCTGAGGCAGGAGGATCGTGTGAACCTGGGAAGTCGAGGCTGCCGTGAGCCTCAGTCATGCCACTGCACTCCAACCTGGGCGACAGACTGAGACCCTGTGTCCAAAAGAAAAGAAAAAAGACATAGATATCCCTTTTAAAGTTAGGTTGTATGTGAATTACCTACAGCTCAGTTTCAACCGTGCTTAAAGGAGGAAATGACTCATTTCTGGCTACACGTCAAATTAGCCCAAAACATAGTGGCTTAAAACAACACATTCATGGTTTCTCAGTTTTTGTGTGTCAGGAATTTGGAAGCAGCACAGCTAGATGGTTCCAGCTCAGGGTCTCTCATGAAGTTGCAATCAAAATATTGGCAGGAGAGGAAAACATATTTTCAGAAGCCGCAGGCATAGGAAGGCTTGGCTGGGGTTGAAGGATCCACTTCCACGACGGGGCACTCAGTGGCTCTTGGCTGGAGGCCTCAGTTCCCTGTTGCATGGAGCTCTCCCTCCAGCTGCTTGAGTGGACTCATGACATGCAGCTGGCCTCCCCTGGAGTAAGTCGATCCAACAATGAGCATGGCCATGAACTAGGCTCAGAAGCCACTTGTTGTCACCTCTACATTTTCCTATCAGAAGTCCAGTGTCACTCCAGGGGACAGGAATTAGGCTCTGCCTTCTGAAAGGATTATCATAGAAGATGCAGTCATATATTCTTTTTTTTTTTTTTTTTGAGACGGAGTCTCGCTGAGTCGCCCAGGTTGGAGTACAATGGCACGATCTTGGCTCACTGCAAGCTCCGCCTCCTGGGTTCACACCGTTCTCCTGCCTCAGCCTCCCGAGTAGCTGGGACTACAGGCGCCCGCCATCACGCCCGGCTAATTTCTTGTATTTTTAGTAGAGATGGGGTTTCACTGTGGTCTCCATCTCCTGACCTCATGATCCGCCCGCCTTGGCCTCCCAAAGTGCTGGGATTACAGGCGTGAGCCACCGTGCCCAGCCTATTCTTTTTTTTTTAATTATTCTTTTTTTTATTTTGTAGAGATGGGGTCTTGGTATGTTGCCCAGGCCAGTCTAGAACTCCTGAGCTCAAACAATCCTATCTCTGCCTCCCAAAGTGTTGGGATTACAGGCGTGAGCTACTGCACCTGGCAATGTGGTCATAGTTTCATATGTTTCTTTTTTTTTTTTTTTTTTGAGACAGAAGTCTCGTCGCCACAGGCCTCGGAGCGTTACCAGAGGCATGATCGGTCGGCTTCCACCTGCAACATTCA